ATGGGTCTGGGGTCTGCCCCTCAGGGATCTGCTCCTCAGGGGTTTGAGGTGCCAAACTGGGCTGGGGTTTGGGGTGCTGTGTTCCCTGAGGGGTTTGGGGTGTTCTGCTCCTCAGGGGTTTGGGGTGGTTGTGAGGGCTTGGGGAGTTGGGAGAGCCCCATGGGTCTGGGGTCTGCCCCTCAGGGGTTTGGGGTGCTCTGCTCCTCAGGATTTGCTCTTGAGGGGTTTGGGGTGCTCTGCCCTGAGGGCTTTGGGGTGGTTGTGACGGCTCGGGGAGGTGGGAGAGCCCCACAGGTCTGGGGTCTGCTCCTCAGAGGATTGGGGTGTTCTGCCCCTCAGGGGTTTGGCGTGGTTGTGAGGGTTCAGGGAGGTGGGGGTGCCCCATGGGTCTGGGGTCTGCCCCTCAGGGATCTGTTCCTCAGCAGTTTTGGGTACCCTGCTCCCTGAGGGGTTTGGGGTGTTCTGCTCCCTTAGATGTAAAAATAAATAAAACTAAAAGGTGTAAAAGAAAGAAATCCTCAGATAGTCCCTGATCCCAAAGGAGGAACTCCCTGCCCCTCAAGCACAGCTGTGGGTGTTCAAAAGGATAAAATCTGTGATCCCAACATTGCAGTGTGCTGTTCCTGTAGGCTTTCCCCAAATCTGCCCCTCCTGCTTTGCCCTGCTGTGCTCTGTGCTGTGCCCCCTGTGCCCAGACAGGGTTGGCATCTCCGTGGGCACCTTCCCTGCCTGCCCCCTGTGCAGGGCTGCTGCCCCTCACACCCAGCACATTTTTGTGTGATTAGCTTTGCTCCCTGCCTCGCCCTCGCTGAGCTTTTATGGGCATGGTGATGAGGCCAGGAGGCTGCTCAGGGAGCTGGGCAGTGTAAAACCTTTGGGAAAGGTTCCCAGCAGAGCCTTGGCAGGCTCCAGGCCCCTGAGACAGCAGGAGAAACGTTTAACTAAACAAAGGAGCTGCAGGCTGGGTCACTGCAGCAGCCAGAGGGGCTGGCTGGTGTCCCCAGCTGCTTTCAGAGGATTCTGCTGCCATTTCCAGCCTGGCTTGGAGCCTTTTCCACCAGGGGAAAGCTTATTTCTGAAATGCTGACCAGTGTGAGCTGCTGCCCACAGCTAGGAGCTGAGTGCCACTGGCATGCCTTGCAGCTGAAGCTCTAGGTTTGGGTTATTCCTACATTCTGCCCAGAGAGCAGGAGGAGGCAGCAGGGCTGTCCATGGCAGCCAGGAGCTGTTCCAGCCCTCCTCTCCTCCTCCTCCTCCTCCTTCCTGGCTTGTGCAAACCCAGCTGGCTCTGCTGCTTTTCCCAGCCAGCATCTGCTCTTAATCCTGCCTAATTAATCCCTTTAATTAATCCCTTCCATTGGGTGCTGTGCTGCTGGCAGGGCTCGGGGCGCTGCTG